CTCATCTTCCCTGCCTCTGTTCTCCCTTCACTCCTTCCCGCCCTCTCCCCCTTTTTTCATTCCCAGGATCTGTCCACAGACGCATCGCAGCACGTGCGGTCAGCGCTTGCGTCGGTGATAATGGGCATGGCGCCGCTGATGGGCAAGGAGATGACCATCGAGCACCTCCTGCCGCTCCCCTCCCTCCCCTCGCCCCCCGTCTCACCCCCCTCGTGCCTCAGGACCTGCCCACAGATGCGTCTCAGCATATACGATTTTCCCATCTCTGCTCCCTCCTGCCCCCTCTCCGTTTCCTCCTTCCCCTCCTCTTCCCCCGCTTCCTCCCCCCACCCCACTTCCCTTCCCCTCGTGCCTCAGGACCTGTCCACAGACGCGTCTCAGCACGTGCGGTCGGCGCTGGCATCAGTGATAATGGGCATGGCGCCGCTGATGGGCAAGGAGATGACCATCGAGCACCTGCTGCCGCTCTTCCTCGCCCTGCTCAAGGACGAGTTCCCTGACGTGCGCCTCAACATCATCAGCAAGCTCGACCAAGTCAACCAGGTGAGCTGTTGACGTTGTTTGACTCGAGTTGAGTTGACCTTGTTTGACTTGAGTTGACTTGAATGGCTCAAGGACGAGTTCCCTGACGTTTGCCTCAGCATCACCAGCAAACTCGACCAAGTCAACCAGTCAGACCGTTTGACGCTACCTTGCTGGCTGCTAACTGTGTTTGACTTGCGTTGACTTGAAGGGCTCATTCACTTTCTGATCTCTTCCTCTCCATACAGGTGATGGGCATGGACCTGCTGTCGCAGTCCCTGTTCCCAGCGATTGTCGAGTTGTCAGAGGACCGGCACTGGCGGGTGCGGCTGGCAATCATTGAGTACATCCCGCTGCTGCCGCCACTCACTTGCCTTCCCTTTCCCCCACACACTGTCATACAGGTGATGGGCATGGACCTGCTGTCCCAGTCGCTCTTCCCAGCAATTGTCGAATTGTCAGAGGACCGGCACTGGCGGGTGCGGCTGGCATTCATCGAGTACATCCCGCTGCTGGCGCCACTCACTTGTTCCTTCTTTCTCTCCCCTTTTCCCCACTCTTTTTACTTGCCATACAGGTGATGGGCATGGACCTGCTGTCCCAGTCGCTCTTCCCAGCGATTGTGGAGCTGTCAGAGGACCGGCACTGGCGGGTGCGGCTGGCAATCATCGAGTACATCCCGCTGCTGCCGCCACTCACTTGCTCCTTATGTCTCTCTCTTTTCCCCAATCTCCCCCCCTGCGTACAGGTGATGGGCATGGACCTCCTCTCCCAGTCGCTCTTCCCAGCAATTGTCGAGCTGTCAGAGGACCGCCATTGGCGGGTGCGGCTGGCAATCATTGAGTACATTCCGCTGCTGGCGGGGCAGCTGGGCATGGAATTCTTCGACGAGAAGCTCAAGGATCTCTGCATGAAGTGGCTCGAGGACCAGGTGGGTGGTGATGTTTTGTGAATGGGTGGGAGTGGGTGCGAGTGTGTGGGAGTCGGTTGGGGTGGGTTGGAGTGAGGCGTTACTGGGCAAGATTACAGAGGGGCAGCTGGGCATGTTCTTTGACGAGAAGCTCAAGGACCTCTGCATGAAGTGGCCTGGGGACCAGGTGGGTTGATATGGGTGGGAGTGTGTGTTGTGCGTCGACTCAAAGCACACCTGCTGGCGGGGCAGCTGGGCATGGAGTCTTCCGAGATGCTCAAGGACCTCTGCATGAAATGGCTCGAGGACCGTACAGTTTATTTTGTTCAATGAGAATGTGAGTGGAGAATGGGGTGACATTTCCTAAGCTGTAATGGCACGTTACGGTGCTCCACCATTCTCTCACACTCTGTGTCATCTCATCTCATCCCATCCCATCACATCCCGCACCATGCCACACTCCACCCCACCCCACCACACCCCATCCCACCACGCCATCCACCAGGTGTATTCCATCCGCGAGGCAGCAGCCACGAACCTGAAGCGATTGGCAGAGGAGTTTGGCCCGGAGTGGGCTCAAGCGCACATCGTGCCCATGGTATGGAGCTAGCTGATTACCCATCTCTAGTCATTATTTAGAGTTTTTAAAGGTGAGTGAAGCGGTTGGCAGATGAGTTTGACCTGAATGGGGCTCAAGCGCACATCGTGCCCATGGTATGGAGCAAGTGAATTACCCATTTGTAGTCATGAAATTTTTTTTTTTAGATTTCTCACCAGTGACATCCATACATGAAGCAGTTGGCAGAGGAGTTTGGCCCATAGCATACCTCAAGTGCACATCCCGCTCTGCTCATGGTACTGCATACAAGAATCAAATCTTTACCTTCTGTTGTTTTTGCACTTTTGAGAATTCTCAAAAGCGGTAATCACAAATTCTACCGCCCTTCTTTCGACCTTCTCTCACCTTTCTCTCTCGCCTTCCTTTCTGCAACCCACCCCCCCCCCCCCCCCACCTCCCCCCCCCTCTCCCCCCCCCTCCTCTCCCCCCTCTCCCCTCCCCACACACGCTTTTGTCCCCCGTCAACCAGGTGGTGAGCAAGGTGAACAACCCGCACTACCTGTACCGCATGACAGTGCTGCTCTCCATCTCCATGCTCGCGCCTGTGCTCGGCTCTGAAGCCACCTGCAGCACCATGCTGCCCATCGTGCTCAACGCCGCTAAGGACAGGTGATTGATTGCAGTGGTTGCAGGGATGAGAGTGAGCTGAAGGTGAGAGTGAGCCGGGATAGCTGAGGGGGTTGGGCTGGGGGAGTTGAGCTGGGGCATTTGAGTCTTGAGTCACCTCTGAAGCCACCTGCAGCACCATGCTGCCCATCGTGCTCAACGCCGCCAAGGACAGGTGATTGCACGGATGCTGGGATAGCTGAGGAGTTGGGCTGGGGGGGTTGAGCTGGGCATTTGAGTCTTGAGTCACCTGCAGCACCATGCTGCCCATCGTGCTCAATGCAGCCAAGGACAGGTGAGAGTGAGCAGGGCAAGGGTGATTGCAGGGCTGTTGGTCGTGATTGCAGAGCTGTTGGTCGTGATTGCAGAGCTGTTGGTCGTGATTACGCTTTGGTATTCCTGCTTGCTGCGTCACTCCATCCAGCACAACCACTTGCACGTCACGCCATGTTCTTGTCCCATGCCTCCTCTCCACCACTCTCACCTCACTCACACTCGCTCAATATGCCTTTCATATTATTTCACTCACTCCTCTCGTACCTCTCTCACCCCTCATACCTCCTTCCATTTTCCCTCCATTCCTCCCGTTCCTTCTCCTCTTCAGGGTGCCCAACATTCGGTTCAATGTGGCAAAGATGCTTCAATCCTTCATCACCATTGTCGAACCATCGGTAAGCTCCAAGGACAGCCATGCCATGTCAATGTATACCTTTTTATTCCTCCCCAACTTCCCCTACCCCCATCCCCACCCACCCACCACCAAATATTCCGTTCTCCTCTCACATCCCAAATTTTTCAGTTACACCTCAATTTTTCCTATCTTAAATTCTTTCTACCGGAATTTGGTCTGATTCCTCCTATGTCCTCCATGTCTTCCTGTTTCCACCTGCCCACATTGTGGAGCAGAGCATTCGACCTGCGCTTCATTGTCTTCTTATCTCACGGTTTCCTCTTGGCCTGACATGCCTATCGCCCTGTCTTCCTGTCCCCCAGATTGTGGAGCGGAGCATTCGGCTAGCCTTGTTTGAGCTGAACGAGGACCCAGACCCAGATGCGTGCTTCCCTCACAACCTGATTTTTTCCTATTTCCCTCTTCTCGTTGTGTATGGAACATGCCCAGATTGTGGAGCAGAGCATTCGGCCAGCCTTGTTTGAGCTGAACGAGGACCCAGACCCAGATGTGCGCTTCTTTAACACCCTAATTCTCTTATTTCTCTCTCCTCTTCCTGTTTCGTTGCGCTTTACAGATTGTGGAGCAGAGCATTCGGCCAGCCTTGTTTGAGCTGAATGAGGACCCAGACCCAGATGTGCGCTTCTTTCACTCCCTGAATCTGTCTCATTTCCCTCTCTTCTTGATTTGTTGCGCTTTACAGATTGTGGAGCAGAGCATTCGGCCAGCCTTGTTTGAGCTGAACGAGGACCCAGACCCAGATGTGCGCTTCTTTGCTAACCAAGCACTGCAGGCATGCGATCAGCTCATGGTCGGCTGAACGACTCTTGATGCGGTTGAGTGAGGTGAGGAGGTTGAATGATGTGCTCGTCGTTGCCAGCCAAGCACTGCACGCATGTGATCAGCTAAAGGGACCATGCAACGTTTCAGCTGGCAGGCATTGCTTGCATTGCTTAGGGAGGGATACTGTGATGGAATGGGAGATCATTTGCAGGAAAAGTAAGCCCACATTTTATGGGCTGGGGCCGCGTCTCCATTTGCTCGTTAGGGGAGCTGCGTGTGTTGCTTAAACGGAGTCAGTTTGGAACTCACTGCAATTCGGTCTAGGCTTGCGCCAAGTAGTGACACCTGGAAGTACAGTGATGCATATGCTCCTCTTTTATTACTGATTCTGATTTCAAACAGAACAGCAGACAGCACAGCCATTCCTTAGCATCTCAGCACAACAGAAAGCAATCTTTCACACTTCATCATGCTGTTACCGTGTTGGTAGGTAGGGACTTCCCACGAGTGTCTGGTGGTTATGCCTCAGCAGCACACAGCATTGCCAGAAGTAGCAACACAAGAAGCATTGTCCCATGACAGGGAGTTTTATCTCTGTTGCATGTTGTTGCTTTATCTGCATGAAATAAATGTATGTATCATATGTCCTTGTGCATACACTGGTAATAATTCTGTTCATCAGCTATGTTGCGCCATGTGCTTCTCTGGAGCACGTTAAGCTACCGGTACCTAGTTTCAAATGTCCATGCTGAGACGTTTTTGTTTGATCCCTAACCTAAGCAGATCTGTCATTATTCAGGCAATTATCTAAATCTACAATCATCATTGCTAATAAAGTGCGCCATGGTCTTTTCTTCGGTCTTCTGGGCCCCTCTTGGCCACTAGGGGGGTTAACCCCTAGTGTTACACCCACACACCACGTTGAGGTGGGGACCCTTCGTGTGGGACCTGCATGGGGACCACGGGGGGTTAGCAGCAAACAGCAAGCAAGCAAGCACAGCAACAAACAAGGAAATAGCGAAGAAAAACAAGCAACAAACTAGGAAATAGCGAAGAAGCAACAAACAAGGAAACAGCGAAGAAATACCGTACAAGCAAGGAAAGCGTGGAAAGCACCTACACTTACAAAACCCACCACCACCGACGACCGTTGCTGGCGTGCCGTGCAGTCCACCTCCACTCCGCAGCCCCGGAGAGGCACGAGCAGAGGGCATGAAGCGTCCCACAAGCCCCCGCTCAAACCAGGCAAAGCCTGGCCCAGGTGGAGGCGGGGTGAGTGAGGATCATCATGTGACATCTTTAGGGAGCGTCCCCCCTTCAGTCATCAGAGCATTCACTCACACACAGGGGTGCTTCGGACGTTAGGGGGGCCAGCCCTAACGCCGTCAGCAGCCCCTGCCGCACACCACCTGATGCCCCAGTTGGGGGTCTTCACTTCAGTGCTCCCCAAGCATGCTATGCATATCAACCTGAGGGGAGGGGAGGGGAGGGGAGGGGGAGGGGGGGGAGGGGAGGGGAGAGGAGGGAAGGAGAGGGGAAGGGAGGGGAGGGGAGGGGAGAAGAGGAGAGGGGAGGGGAGGAGAGGGGAGAGGAGGGGAGGGCGGGGGGGGGGGGGAGGGGGGGTCTTCAGTCTTCGGTCTTCCTGTAAAAAGATGGGAAGGATAAAACAGCAGTGAGCTTCCCGAGAAAGCAAGGCATGAGTTGGGGAGAAAAGCAAGGCGATAAAGCAAGGCGAGAAAAGAGGCTTACCAGAGAAGAGCAAAAGCATCCGCTCCTCTGCCCCTCCTCGCCTCTGCTGCATCTCCTCTGTGAAACGGGAAGACACAGAGTCACAAAAACTCAGCCTAGAAATGCACTAGCGGACCTACTGCCAAGGTATCACACGTGGCTGAAAAGATTCAATGCATACAAAAACAATGCAACAAAAAAACAAGGCGATGCTTACAAGAGAAGAGCAGAAGCGGCTGCTCCTGTTCCTCCTCCCCTCTTCCCCTCCTCTTCTCTGCCCCTCCTCGCCTCTGCTGCATCTCCTCTGTGAAACGGGAAGACACAGAGTCACAAAAAACTCAGCCTAGAAATGCACTAGCGGACCTACTGCCAAGGTATCACACATGGCTGAAAAGATTCAATGCATACAAAAACAATGCAACAAAAAAACAAGGCGATGCTTACAAGAGAAGAGCAGAAGCGGCTGCTCCTGTTCCTCCTCCCCTCTTCCCCTCCTCTTCTCTGCCCCTCCTCCCCTCTGCTGCATCTCCTCTGTGAAACGGGAAGACACAGAGTCACAAAAAACTCAGCCTAGAAATGCACTAGCGGACCTATTGCCAAGGTATCACACATGGCTGAAAAGATTCAATGCATACAAAAACAATGCAACAAAAAACCAAGGCGATGCTTACAAGAGAAGAGCAGAAGCGGCTGCTCCTGTTCCTCCTCCCCTCTTCCCCTCCTCTCCTCTCCCCCTCCTTGCCTCTGCTGCATCTCCTCTGTGAAACGGGAAGACACAGAGTCACAAAAACTCAGCCTAGGAATGCACTAGCGGACCTACTGCCAAGATATCACACATGGATGAAAAGATTCAATGCATACAAAAACAATGCAACAAAAATCAAGGCGAGAAAAGAGACTTACAAGAGAAGAGCAGAAGCGGCTGCTCCTGTTCCTCCTCCTCTCTTCCCCTCCTCTCCTCTGCCCCTCCTCGCCTCTGCTGCATCTCCTCTGTGAAACGGGAAGACACAGAGTCACAAAAACTCAGCCTAGAAATGCACTAGTGGACCTACTGCCAATATATCACACATGGCTGAAACGATTCAATGCATACAAAAACAATGCAACAAAAAAACAAGGCGATGCTTACAAGAGAAGAGCAGAAGCGGCTGCTCCTGTTCCTCCTCTCCTCTTCCCCTCCTCGCCTCTGCTGCATCTCCTCTGTGAAACGGGAAGACACAGAGTCACAAAAACTCAGCCTAGAAATGCACTAGCGGACCTACTGCCAAGATATCACACAAGGCTGAAACGATTCAATGCATACAAAAACAATGCAACAAAATCAAGGCGAGAAAAGAGGCTTACAAGAGAAGAGCAGAAGCGTCTGCTCCTGTTCCTCCTCCCCTCTTCCCCTCCTCTCCTCTGCCCCTCCTCGCCTCTGCTGCATCTCCTCTGTGACACGGGAAGACACAGAGTCAAAAAAACTCAGCCTAGAAATACACTAGCGGACCTACTGCCAAGATATCACACATGGCGGAAACGATTGAATGCATACAAAAACAATGCAACAAAAATCAAAGCAAGAAAAGAGGCTTACAAGTGAAGAGCAGAAGCGGCTGCTCCTGTTCCTCCTCCCCTCTTCCCCTCCTCTCCTCTGCCCCTCCTCGCGTCTGCTGCATCTCCTCTGTGAAACGGGAAGACACAGAGTCACAAAAACTCAGCCTAGAAATGCACTAGCGGACCTATTGCCAAGATATCACACATGGCTGAAAAGATTCAATGCATACAAAAACAATGCAACAAAAATCAAGGCGAGAAAAGAGACTTACAAGAGAAGAGCAGAAGCGGCTGCTCCTGTTCCTCCTCCTCTCTTCCCCTCCTCTCCTCTGCCCCTCCTCGCCTCTGCTGCATCTCCTCTGTGAAACGGGAAGACACAGAGTCACAAAAACTCAGCCTAGAAATGCACTAGTGGACCTACTGCCAATATATCACACATGGCTGAAACGATTCAATGCATACAAAAACAATGCAACAAAAAAACAAGGCGATGCTTACAAGAGAAGAGCAGAAGCGGCTGCTCCTGTTCCTCCTCTCCTCTTCCCCTCCTCGCCTCTGCTGCATCTCCTCTGTGAAACGGGAAGACACAGAGTCACAAAAACTCAGCCTAGAAATACACTAGCGGACCTACTGCCAAGATATCACACATGGCGGAAACGATTGAATGCATACAAAAACAATGCAACAAAAATCAAAGCAAGAAAAGAGGCTTACAAGTGAAGAGCAGAAGCGGCTGCTCCTGTTCCTCCTCCCCTCTTCCCCTCCTCTCCTCTGCCCCTCCTCGCGTCTGCTGCATCTCCTCTGTGAAACGGGAAGACACAGAGTCACAAAAACTCAGCCTAGAAATGCACTAGCGGACCTACTGCCAAGATATCACACATGGCTGAAAAGATTCAATGCATACAAAAACAATGCAACAAAAATCAAGGCGAAAAAAGAGGCTTACAAGAGAAGAGCAGAAGCGGCTGCTCCTGTTCCTCCTCCCCTCTTCCCCTCCTCTCCTCTTCCCCTCCTCGCCTCTGCTGCATCTCCTCTGTGAAACGGGAAGACACAGAGTCACAAAAAACTCAGCCTAGAAATGCACTAGCGGACCTACTGCCAAGATATCACGCATGGCTGAAACGATTCAATGCATACAAAAACAATGCAACAAAAAAACAAGGCGATGCTTACAAGAGAAGAGCAGAAGCGGCTGCTCCTGTTCCTCCTCTCCTCTTCCCCTCCTCGCCTCTGCTGCATCTCCTCTGTGAAACGGGAAGACACAGAGTCACAAAAACTCAGCCTAGAAATACACTAGCGGACCTACTGCCAAGATATCACACATGGCGGAAACGATTGAATGCATACAAAAACAATGCAACAAAAATCAAAGCAAGAAAAGAGGCTTACAAGTGAAGAGCAGAAGCGGCTGCTCCTGTTCCTCCTCCCCTCTTCCCCTCCTCTCCTCTGCCCCTCCTCGCGTCTGCTGCATCTCCTCTGTGAAACGGGAAGACACAGAGTCACAAAAACTCAGCCTAGAAATGCACTAGCGGACCTACTGCCAAGATATCACACATGGCTGAAAAGATTCAATGCATACAAAAACAATGCAACAAAAATCAAGGCGAAAAAAGAGGCTTACAAGAGAAGAGCAGAAGCGGCTGCTCCTGTTCCTCCTCCCCTCTTCCCCTCCTCTCCTCTTCCCCTCCTCGCCTCTGCTGCATCTCCTCTGTGAAACGGGAAGACACAGAGTCACAAAAAACTCAGCCTAGAAATGCACTAGCGGACCTACTGCCAAGATATCACGCATGGCTGAAACGATTCAATGCATACAAAAACAATGCAACAAAAAACCAAGGCGATGCTTACAAGAGAAGATCAGAAGCGGCTGCTCCTGTTCCTCCTCTCCTCTTCCCCTCCTCGCCTCTGCTCCATCTCCTCTGTGAAACGGGAAGACACAGAGTCACAAAAACTCAGCCTAGGAATGCACTAGCGGACCTACTGCCAATATATCACACATGGATGAAAAGATTCAATGCATACAAAAACAATGCAACAAAAATCAAGGCGAGAAAAGAGGCTTACAAGAGAAGAGCAGAAGCGGCTGCTCCTGTTCCTCCTCCCCCTCTTCCCCTCCTCTCCTCTGCCCCTCCTCGCGTCTGCTGCATCTCCTCTGTGAAACGGGAAGACACAGAGTCACAAAAAACTCAGCCTAGAAATGCACTAGCGGACCTACTGCCAAGGTATCACACATGGCTGAAAAGATTCAATGCATACAAAAACAATGCAACAAAAATACAAGGCGATGCTTACAAGAGAAGAGCAGAAGCGGTTGCTCCTGTTCCTCCTCCCCTCTTCCCCTCCTCTCCTCTCCCCCTCCTTGCCTCCGCTGCATCTCCTCTGTGAAACGGGAAGACACAGAGTCACAAAAACTCAGCCTAGAAATGCACTAGCGGACCTACTGCCAAGATATCACACAAGGCTGAAACGATTCAATGCATACAAAAACAATGCAACAAAAATCAAGGCGAGAATAGAGACTTACAAGAGAAGAGCAGAAGCGGCTGCTCCTGTTCCTCCTCCCCTCTTCCCCTCCTCTCCTCTCCCCCTCCTTGCCTCTGCTGCATCTCCTCTGTGAAACGGGAAGACACAGAGTCACAAAAACTCAGCCTAGAAATGCACTAGCGGACCTACTGCCAAGATATCACACATGGCTGAAAAGATTCAATGCACACAAAAACAATGCAACAAAAATCAAGGTGAGAAAAGAGGCTTACAAGAGAAGAGCAGAAGCGTCTGCTCCTGTTCCTCCTCTGCTGCTCTGCTCCGCTCCTGCCACTCCTCCCTGGCTAAACAAAACCAGACGACATTAGCACGTAGGCAACAAAGATGCAAAAAACTGGAAACGGGACTTACATGTCGGTGACGGTGTTGACCCTCCAAGCTGCTGCTCCCCCGCCGACCTGCCAAAGCAGAGACTTACATGTCGGTGACGGTGTTGACCCTCCAAGCTGCTGCTCCCCCGCCGACCTGCCAAAGCAGAGACTTACATGACGGTGATGGTGTTGACCCTCCAAGCTGCCACACCACACCACACCACACCACACCACACCACACCACTCCACACCACTCCACACCAAAACCAGAGACTTACAATGTCGATGACGCTGTAGACTCCCCGTGCGCCTTCCTCGACGGTGGGAAGGGGATGAGGACGGAGTGCAGGTCAGGTTGGGCGTCAAAGCTGGAGAGGAGGTGCAGGGAGGGCGGTGCTGAAGAAAGAAGACGAGGAGCAGCGATGAGCGGGGCCAGCCGTGAGGAGGACTTACGAGAGACAGTGGCACCACCCTCTCCGCCTCAACACGTCCCACCGCTACTCTCCGTTCCACTTTCCACTGCATCCCCCTCCATGCATCCACTCGTCCAACCCATCAACCACTCCCTCACGTTCCTCCGCCTCACCCCTTGCCGGACGTGCCGCCTCCTCGCCTGAAGTGCCGCCTCCTCGTCTCAAGTGCCGCCAACTTGCCACCTCGTCCCCTCACCTGAAGTGCCGCCTGGTTGCCTCCTCCTCCATTCCCCAAGTGACCTCCTTGCCTCGAGCCCCAAGAGTCGCGTGCTTACCTCCTTGCCCCAAGTGTCCTCCTTGCCTTGAGCGGGTGGTCAGCAGGGCGAGTAGGAGGCAGCCACAAGCCAGTGGCTGCCGGCCGTGCGTCATCCCACCGCGCTCGCCCGTCCTCCTCGCTCCACCACACCACACAAACCACACCATACCAGACCACTCCATACCACACAGCACTACACCTGCTCCTCTGCAGGCGCCTCCGCTCTTGAGTGAAGAAGCCATCTTGAGTGAAGTGCTGCCTCTCCTTGCCTCCTCACCTGAAGTGCTACACACCTCTGCTGAAGTGCCGCCTCCTTGCCTCCGCGCCGGCTCGTTGCCCGAAGTGTCCGCCTCCTCCTCATGCCGCACCATACCATTCCACACCGCACTACACCTCTGCTGAAGTGCCGTCTCCTTGCCTCCGCGCCGGCTCGTTGCCCGAAGTGTCCGCCTCCTCCTCATACCGCACCATACCATTCCACACCGCACTACACCTCTGCTGAAGTGCCGTCTCCTTGCCTCTGCGCCGGCTCGTTGCCCGAAGTGTCCGCCTCCTCCTCATGCCGCACCATACCATTCCACACCGCACTACACCTCTGCTGAAGTGCCGCCTCCTTGCCTCCGCGCCGGCTCGTTGCCCGAAGTGTCCGCCTCCTCCTCATACCGCACCATACCATTCCACACCGCACTACACCTCTGCTGAAGTACCGCCTCCTTGCCTCCGCGCCGGCTCGTTGCCCGAAGTGCCCGCCTCGAGCAGAGCGGGTGGTCAGCAGGGCGGGTAGGAGGCAGCCATGTGGCTGCCGGCCGTGCGTCATCCCACCCCTCGCTTCTCCCTCTCATTGCTGTTGCCTCCCGAGTCACTTCTGCCGTCCTCTGCAGGCTCCTCTGCTCCTCCCGAGTGAAGAACCCATGGTTGCTGAAAAGCAGGGGGAGGCAACACACAGACTAGAGCACGAAGTCAGTAAACAGAACTGCTAAACGAAAAAGAAAGCAAAACAAACACACGAAATGCGGAATTGAAAGCGGAAACGAAGTGAGAAATTGAAAGCGGAGAACAACACAAGGAAACGAGGTGGTGGGATGGATGCACGTCCATGATACGCCAGCTGCAGCTAGCAGAGGGAGGAGCTATGCTACCCAAAACCCAAACTCTATGCTACCCAACCCGAAATCTATGCTACCCAAAACCCGCGGAGGACATCTACTAGGCTGCAGCCGAACGTATCAGAGGGACGTGCATAAACGCGAAGTGCGGGACGATGGAGTGAAGAACGAACGAGGTGCGGAAAACACGGAATGGCGAAACGAAACGAATGGAGGGTGGGTGACGAGAAGGGAAGGCGAGGGGAAAGAGACTTCCCAGTTGCTTTGCTGCCCACGAGACTCCAATGCTCCTCGACCGTGGTCAGCAGGGCGGGTAGAGGCAGCCACACGCCAGTGGCTGCCGGCCGTGCGTCATCCCACCGCGCTCGCCCGTCCACCTCAGCCACGTGTCCGTCCACCTCAGCCACGCGCCCGACCACCTCAGCAACGTGTCCGTAAGCATCAGCTGCTCCTCTGCTCCTTTGTTCTCCTTTGTTGACTCCTCTGCTCCTCCTCTCCTCCACATTCTGCTTGGACAAGGCGCACAGGACAAGGCAAAGAGAATAAGGAAAACAGACGTGCGAACAGCAGAGGCGAAGAGCAGAGGCAAAGGAAAACAGAAACGACGCAAACAGATCTACAGCAAACAGAAACTAGGCAAGTAACAAGATTACCAGCAAAGAGCAGAGGCGACGCTTCTGCTCCTCTCTGGAGTCGCTGCAGCAAGTACTGGCATGAACCCTCCAGTGCTCCTCTTCTTCTCGGCTCCTCACGGCTCCTCCTCTCCTCCTCTGCTGTCTCCTTTGCTGCCCCCCTCCTCTCCTCCACATTTCTGGATGGGCACACAGGACGAGGCAAACAGAATAAGGAAAACAGAACTACAGAAGACAGAAATAAAGCAGACAGATTGAAGGAAAACAGAAGCAATGAAAACAGAAAGGACTAGGGCGACAGGAAAAACGCAAGAAAGAAGATTACCAGCAAAGAGCAGAGGTGACGCTTGTGCTCCTCTCTGGAGTCGCAGCGAGTGCTGGCATGATCCCTCCAGTCCTCCTCTTCTCCTCGGCTCCTCCTCTCCTCCTCTGCTGTCTTCTCTGCTGCCCCCCTCCTCCACATTTCTGGACGGACAAGGCACACAGGACATGGTACACAGAACAAGGGAAATAAACTTACGGAAGACAGAAATACGGCAGATAGAGTAAAGGAAAGGAAAACCGAAATGACGAAAGCAGAATTCAAGAAAGAAGATTACCAGCATCTCTGCTCCTCTGCTCCATCGCCCCTCAGGCATCGCCTCTGCTCCGCTGCACGCAACAGCCAGGAGCTCCGCACCTCCAGCACTCCAGCAGCGCCAGGATCAGCCAGGCTCCTCTCCTCTCCTCTCCTCTCCTCTCCTCTCCTCTCCTCTCCTCTCCTCTCCTCTCCTCTCCTCCGCACCTCCAGCAGCGTCATGAGTGAGAAGGAATCCGAAGGTGGTGGAGAGAGGAAGAGAAAGGAAGGGAAGAGGAGGAGGAGGAGGAGGAGGAGGAGGAGGAGGAGGAGGAGGAGGAGGAGGAGGAGGAGGAGGAGGAGGAGGAGGAGGAGGAGGAGAAGGAGTAGGTGCTTCACGCTGCAGCACGCTGCACAACGTTGCTCCACCCGGCTCCATAACCCTCCATGGTTCTCCGCGCCAGTTGTTGGCATGATACATGTCACGGAAGACCAGGAAGCCAACTCCTGCACGGACCAGGACAGAGCAGATTGCAGCGCAATGGAAACGAATCTGAAATGGTCAGGCGGAACAGAAACGAATCTGAAATGAGAACTGAAAATTCCAGATAGCAACGGAAACGAATCTGAAATGAGAACTGAAATGTCCAGATAGCAACGAAAACAAATTTGAAATGAGAACTGAAATTTCCAGATAGCAACGGAAACGAAACTGAAATGTGAACTGAAATTTCCAGATAGCAACAGAAACGAATCTGAAATAGCAACAGGAGAAAGATGCAGCCAGGAAACGTTGGATGCAGCCAGGAGAAAGACGCAGCCTAGAGATCGGGCATTGGATGAAAACTCACCACAAGCGTCAGACGCAAACGGCTCGAACGTCGACGTGTCCTCCGTTAGCGTCGTTCCGCGTCGCGATACCTCTATTCGAATAGCGTCGTAATCTCCGCCATTCAGCGTCGCGATCTCCTCCGTTAGCGTCGTTAGGCGTCGCGAGCTCCTCCGTTCAGCGTCGCGAGCTCCTCCGTTAGCGTCGTTCCGCGTCGCGAGCTCCTCCATCAGGCGTCGAATAGCACTACGGATCAGACCGATGGCGGCAGTCGAATAACGAAGAAGCTTTTCCGTAGAACCAGCGTCGCGAGCTCCTCCGCCCTCCATCCGCGAAGTTCGCGGACTCTTCCGTAGTCGATTTCACGAAGAAGCGTTGTTTCGTGGTAACGTCGCGAGGTCCTCCTTCGCGGCGAGCGTCAACGCCTTCGCGAGCTTTAGAGTCAAATTAAGAAGCTGCTTGCTTTTCCGTAAGTAGCTTATTCGTCATTGTCGGACGTCCGAACAGTCTTCGCGTGGTATGCGCCGTGCGTCGCCATTGTTAGCTTCAACGTCGCAAGCGTTGGTAGTCATTGCAGGCGGCCATGGATGTTGCGAGATCAACTGATGCTTGCTGCGTCGGCCATGGATGCTGCGAAGATTCAGACTCCGATGATGCTGTAACACTAGCCGAAAAGAAACTCCTCATCATCCGTCGTAACGTCGCGAGCGAGATGTGCGAGGAAGACGCATGACCGACGGCGTCGTCGTAGGAAGAAGTATCGATTCAGATTTCAAATCAACTGCTGTAACGCTTCGTAGGAAGCACGACCGGCGACACGAGCGTAGGAAGGAAGCTTCAGGCTGAAGATCTGACGAAAGATCTGATGCGCGTTCGACTCGAAGAAGAGCGTGACGCTCAGTAATAAGATTTGATGAACTGAAATGTCAGTCGAGCGAGCATATGGATTCGACGAACATAAGGAGCTGATGCTTGGAGGAGATCCTCCGGTATTCTTGATTTAACGAATCTAATCTGCGTAAGGTCCGATGTTGTAACTCTGATGGTAACGACCGACCGACCGTCGTAACTCTTGAGGGTTGAATCATCAGGCTGATGGTATGTTTGGAGAGCTGAGCGTTCGGAATCCTGAACTATAACCAATCTATAGTCCGATTAGATTTTAGTTTTTAGCTACCATCATGGTAGCGAATAAGTCTGTAGTCACAACGGAGGAAGCCATGAATAAGGCTGTACACACAACGGAGGAAGCCATGGACCCGGAGAAACCGAGTTACCAAGACTAACTTGAGTCACACCGGAAGATTACGCTGCCTAGGGAATGTCGAGAAACTCGTGAAGTGCTCATGGAGGACAGGAAATTGGGGTAGAGAGGGAAGGGGAGGGAAGTGAAGGGAGGTTGGAGGGTTAGGGGCGGGTTAGGAGGAATCGAGAGGATTTCAGAAGGGTCTGTGGTGGAATGCACGAGAGACAGCGAAAGGGAAGCATAAGGCAGCGACGAGCATAGTCGCTCGCCATGCGGAAGCCACTGCAAGCCGAGGGGAAGCCGTAGCGAAGTGAATGGGCAGGCTCCGCTGACAGGCGGGAAGCGGGAAAACATCGGCCAATAAAAGTGAAGGAAAGAGGGAACAGTGTTGCGCTAGAGCGCGCGCCGTCGGAAACAGTGTTGGGCTGCGCGCGCTGTGCGACCGTTCGCGGGAAAGGGTAGCCATGTGCGAAACATCAGAAAGTAAGCGAAAGGTTGTGAACACAGTCATGTGAGCTCAGCGTTGAAAATGGATGATTTGGCGATGAGACTGCCTGTATTGGTATGGCATGGTGTGGATGGTATGGTCAATTAGCCAATCACGAGATGGCACAGATGCCATGGTACGAGCCTCGGTCAACATCTCTGCTGGTTCGTGTCAGACCCCCGGTTTTAAAACTTGTAGTGAGCTCGTGAACAATTATGGCGGGAAGGCGACTTTCATCCCCGTTAACAAAACCACAAATAGCTTGCGCAGGTTAGGATGCAGGAGCTGTATTCTTTGCAGTTACCTAAGAATTTGAAACAGATAACCTTATGCTGTTATACATTTGCACATATACATATATATTTTCTATGTCATGCTTTCAGAACCTGTTACGATATGAAGTTTTATAAGAAGGCATTCCTGTATGCTGCAGGAGCCGACTCTACCGAGTACGAAGTCGAGGAGTCAGAAGAGTCGAAGCGACACAGCAACCGTCTGACCAAGACCGATGCAGGCAGAAACATTTGAAGTGAAAAAGGCGGGAACAGGTTTGAAACGGGTTCCCGCGCCGCACGGTTTGAATTCGGTTGTAATAAGGGAATGTACCCCTTAGAGTACATGGCTAGTCTAGGTCTTTTCGTATTCCCCTGTATTCTTATATAAACTCGATGTATGCATGTTGAATTAAGGAGGTACTTAGGTTTAGGATGCCTAGGCTTAGGAGCCTAGGCAAGGAGGGTATCGAGTAGGTTGTGCCAAAGGATAGCGATAATAGGGGGTTTCACTATAGGAAAAACAGAACATATAGGAGAAAGGAGGGGAGGTGCACCACCAACACAAGAAGCATATAGCTACACTAGGATCAACTGTAGGCAGGTATATAAATGTAACAAATACATTTCAACACACCCCCTAGCTGCCTACAGTGAGAACCATGTGCAACAGCACCCCCTGAAGTGGTACACGGAGGGTAGAGAGTGCGAGAGAGGATAGGAGGAGGTGGGCGGCGGCTGAAGCTGCTAGCACACTGGCAACTCGAGCAACTGGCTCACGGGCTACTGGGGTAACGGGCTCGTACGCCTGGAGCATCCCGCTCGTACGGCTAGAGCAACAGACCCACGGGCGACTGGAGCAACGGGCCACTGGCGACTGGCGCTGCGAGCTTCACGACGGCCACCCCCCTCCAACCTCTCCAACCTCTCCCCCCCCCCCCAAACCTCCCCCTCACAACGGCGGAGACGACTGGAGCAAGGAGAACAGACGGAGGAGGATGCGGCTGGAAATGGAAAGGAGAGAGGAGAGGTGAGGAGAGGAGATGCGGCTGGAGAAGAGGAGAGGAGAGCAGATGCGGCTGGAGGAGAGGAGAGGAGAGGACGAGAGGTGAGGAGGTGGCGATTTGCTGGTCATCCCCGCCACCCCCTTATCCCCCCCCCTCACGGCCGTAAACACGGGCGCGAGAGAGAGGGAAGAGAAGGGCCGCGGGCTGGTGCTGCATCTTACCTCCCGCCACCCCCATTACCCCCCCCCCTCCCCATCAGCGGCAGCTGCAGCAGTGGGAGACGGAGGAGGAGGAGGAGCAGGGGACGGCTCACACACCCGCCACCCCCATACCCGTCACCCCCATACCCTGAGTGTGCGGTAAGCGAGCCCAGGTGTGCGCGAAGCGTGCACATGCGTGCGGGAAGCGAACTCGGGTGTGCGGAAAGAGAACTCAGGTGTGCGGGGAGGGGGGCCGCAGGGCGACGCGCGGGTCGACGGGGACGGGCGCACGGGTCCCCGGGGGCGGCGCGCGGGTCGACGGGGCCGCCGCGAAGGGCGACGGGGAGCCGCGCGCGGGTCGACGGGGCCGCCGCGAAGGGCGACGGGTAGCCGCGCGCAGGTCGACGGGGACGGGCGCGCGGGTCGACGGAACGCGAAACCGCCGTGCGCGCTTAGGGTGCGCGGCGGGCAGGAAACCGCCACGCGTCCCGAGCGCATGGCGGGCAGAAAACCGCCACGCGCCCCGAGCGCGTGGCGGGAAGAAAAAATGAACATCGCACGCCACGGGGAGCGCGACAGACAGTATGGCAGCGGAAGCAGGCGGGCCCGCAGGCCAGGAGCGTAACCGCTCTGATAGCATGTTGAATTAAGGAGGTACTTAGGTTTAGGATGCCTAGGCTTAGGAGCCTAGGCAAGGAGGGTATCGAGTAGGTTGTGCCAAAGGATAGCGAGAATAGGGGGTTTCACTATAGGAAAAACAGAACATATAGGAGAAAGGAGGGGAGGTGCACCACCAACACAAGAAGCATATAGCTACACTAGGATCAACTGTAGGCAGGTATATAAATGTAACAAATACATTTCAACAATGCATGCTATTATCAACTCAGTCATTTACATTCACTCTGACCTGAGATTCAAACTTCCGCTGCAACACTACTCTGCGATCAATCCTGAGCGATCCTTCGCTAAGTCCCTCTTGGGATTGTAACATGGTATGAGAGCTACTCATGGATTCTTCGCAACTTCACTTCCGTGAAATTCGCCGAACCAATATCTGGCGAGCGGCACACGCTCCAAGACCAAGATGGCCGGAGGATCCGGAGGCCAAGCAAATCTGACGGCTGAAGGACAATCCAATCCGGCTGCGACAAACGAGGCGACAACCACGATCGGCACGGCCGCCCTTGAGCAACTTTTCGCTCGACTTTCAACTATGGAGAAAGAACTCCGAGACCTGCGCAAAGGCGATGCGGGAACCTCTTCCCAACCAGCACAACCTGGACAACCGGCCGAGAAAAGCCGTGATACCGCCGCGCACACCTTCTCCCTCGACACAGACAAATCAACAACAACTGCCCCCCGTCCAAGTGATGAAGCTATCAACTCTGCGCAAGC